CCCCGCTATGAGCCTGTGCCACATACCTGCTTACACACGCTCTGAGCTGGTTTGGACATCACAAACACACGGCCACATACACTCCCAGCCAGCCCCTCACCCCACACACGGCGTGCCCAGGCACCCCCGCCCATGCCGCATCCACCTGAGTGTGAGCACATTCCTCCCCTGCCCTTTATTTCTCAGGGGGCCTCTCTGATGTTTCGCTCTCTGAGAAAGCTCCCACCCACTGCCCCCAGCCTTTGTGGGTAGGTGTGTTACACACATTAATCCCTTCCCGCCCACCTCCCTGTAGATCTGTGTTTTAGATTCAGAGCCTTAAACCTTAACTCCTCCCGGGAGACTCGCTCACACACTTTCCTCCCACAGGATCGCTCGTATTTACACACTCTTCCTCCCGTGAAGGAGGGCAGTCTAATCCTAATTCTGCCCCTCTTCCCGAGAGCTCAGCTCAGATCTCCACTGGGGCAGGGTCTTCTCCCAGCTCTCTTCACTGCCCTCTGTTCCTAGGTCCAGCTCTGGGCCCCCTCCTCAGCATCCCGCCCTTTTCTGTCCCTGGATTATCAGCGGAGGGGGCTGGGCTCCCAGCCTGCTGCTGTGACCTAGATTTCGAGGCGGAGACGGTTCCTGGTGCTGACAGTCAGAGAGCATTGTTCCTGGCCCGGCCTGCCAGGGCCACCGCTGGGCCCTTCTGTCTGGTTGCACCTGGGTGTGCAAGTGAGCGTGCCTGGGAGTGCCTGTTCCTTGCAGGGGTCATGCTAGCCCTGCTGTCTGGCTCATTGTCTGTCTGTGTCACGGTGCCTGCCACCAAGGGAGGCTTGTTTGTACGGGCCCAAGTAGGGGGCTGGGAATGAGGACGTGGTTCTGCACCTTCTTATGCGACACCAGCCTCTCTGCCTCAGCTCTCCTGCAGCAGAGGCCAGAGTCAGGAAAATGGGTACGTGCCAGCCAGAGCCCTCAGATCTGCCACCCTCCCAGCCTGATGCTGGGAGGCCATGGTTTTGGGGGCCAGGCAGAAGGCCGTCCAGTCCCTCGCATCCCAGTGTTTATGGCACGACTTAATCTCTTTGCTGCTTCACCACTCTGATAACACACTCACTCACTGTGGACAGTTTCCTTTCTGAGCTCACCACTGGTGTTTCACATCTTATCAGATCCAGAGTTCGTGCCAAGGTCCAGCCTCCTTCCTCCCTGTGCTAGCCGCAGCTCCCACCTTTGTGGAAGGCAGGCCTTGAATGTACCTTCTCACCCAAGGATCCCAGTGGAGGGATGGGATGAAAGTCCAGATGCACTCTGGCCTTGCCCACCCACTGTGGGAGGCTACGCGGAAGGAGTGCCAGCAGGAAGTGGATGCAAGGGGTAGCAGCAGCCCCCTTCCTGCCAGATTCTCCCAAAGCCCTGTCTAAACTCCCCTTCCCCCGCCACCAGCCAGCCTGGGAACTGGGCAGGGGGCCAGAGCCAGCTGCTTGGTATGCTTGGGCGTGGGGGCTGCAGGCACAGCACAAAGGCTAGGAGGGCAGAGTGGGGGCCCGGGAACCATCAAGGGTGAAAAGGGGCTCTGCAAGGTGGGGGTGGCCCATTGTCTTCCCCCACCCCAAGCCCTGGTGATTGAATAAGCGTGGAGGGGCCAGGGAACCCGCAGACCCAGCAACTACCATGCAAACTGGGTCATTAGGGTAGTGGGGAGTTGAAGCGAGGGACCCCTTAGCTTCTGGGGACACATGAGCTCCAGCGAACTCCTCTAGTTTCTCCTCTTCAGCTTCTCACTGCCATAGCCTGGGTCATTGTTTTTGAATGTTTTTGTTTTTGTTTTGTTTTCCCCTGATAGGGGGAAGGGTTGCAGGTGGGTGGGGCGATTCTGGGGGGACTTAGAGGCAGTGGGTGAGAAAGTCGGGAGTAGGTTGCTATGGTAACCACCTCCTCAGTCAGGGAACTGTTGCCAGGGATACTGTTAGAAGGGGGGAAGGAAAAGATGGTGGGGGAAGGAGGTATGACTTGTAGCTCTAGGCTCCAGCCAGGCTCCTAGTTTCCGAGTTTCTTCCTGTCTACCCCACCATCTCCCCAAGGCCTTCCTTTTCAGTTTCCAGCGCGGCCCCCACTGCCCTCCAGACACATGCCTGGTGGGGGTGGGGAGCACCCGTGACTGAACCACACCCTGTACCTTCTGCTCAGCCTGCTCGCCCCTCGTCATCATGACGGAGTACGGGACCCTCCTCCAGGACCTGACCAACAACATCACCCTTGAAGATCTGGAGCAGCTTAAGTCAGCCTGCAAGGAGGACATCCCCAGCGAGAAGAGTGAGGAGATCACTACTGGCAGTGCCTGGTTTAGCTTCCTGGAGAGCCACAACAAGCTGGACAAAGGTGGGGAGGGCTGCGGGGTCGTGCCCTCGGCCTTTCGGCTTTCATTCAGCAGGTGGAGCGCGGAGCTCGTGCGCACACATCATGCACGTCTGTGACAGGGCAGAAGAGAGATCGGTCCTAGCAGTACAAAGGGCTCTTGGACAAGGGTCTTCAGACATTTTCCAGTGTGTCCTTTATAAAAAAATGCATTCAGGTATCCTTGTGCTATTATTACTTTATTTATACGCGCACACACACACCCTGGAGAGGGACTTCGAAAGTTTGTGGAAAGATAAACATAGACGTTCTTTTGGTGCAAAAAAAATTTGAAATCATGCAGTTTTTTTATAATGTACATTTTCCATGAACTTTTTGAAGACGGTGTGTGTGTGTATAAAGAAAACATAAACATAGACGTTTGAAGTGATATAATTAGGGACCAGCAGATGGTATAATGGTTACGTTGCTGGGCTTCTACATAGTCGACCATGGCTTAAGTCCTGGACCCAGCAGCTTAAAACTCAGGCTGGGTGCATGTGCATACATACCCAAAATCCTGAGAAGAGCATGGAGGAGAGAGGACTGTGGCGTGGCCATCTCCCCTAGGTGGTGACTTCTCGCTGTCTGTCTCCAGCGAGAGCACATACCCTCCAGCAAAAATCTCTCCAAAAAACAGTGATACGATTATAGGTGAAACCATAAATTGTCACATCTTCTATGCACCTCTGGAGACCATGAGTGAGCAAATGCCCATGTAGCTATTGAGACAGGTCTGCAGGCAAGTGGGATCGGGTTTGCTGGGCAGAGCAGCATAGCCAGAGTTCGGAGGGCCTGGAAAAGCAGGGGCCCTGCTTGGCTTGGCTGGGCCATGGGGACATGGAGAAGTGGCAGGAAAGGGAAGGTCCTGGGCTACAGAGGGTCTTGGTGACAGAGTATCTGACAGATAAGGTAAGTGACTAGGCGCCCTACAGGGAGAGGGCTGAAGGGCCACAGCTGCCAGGGAAGAAGGTCCAAGGACACGTGCAGTCTCCTGGACCTGGCCACGCCATGGAGACCACCCTTTTGCTTGTGCCTCGGCCTTGGCAGAGTAACCCTTCTGAGTTGTCGAGAGATCCCACCCCTCCAGGTACATTATGTGCCGTCAGGAAATTCTTCCCGATGCTCACTTGTAGAGAAAGTGGAAAAAGGACAAGAATGGCTATGGGGGGAACCAGCAGTTAGCGTAATGGCTATGTCGCTGGATTCCCACGTAGTCGACCGCGGTTCACGTCCCGGATCCGGTGGCTTAGAACTCACGCCGGGCGCGTGTGTGTGCGTGCCCAAGATCCCGAGAGGAGAATGGAGAAGGGATTGCGGTGTGACCATCCCCCCTGGGGGTAATCTCTCGCTTTCTATCTCTCTGTCTCTCTCTGTCTGTCTGCTGAGTGCACGCGCCCTACAGTGAAAACCTCTCCAAAAACAAACAAAAAAGACTGGCTGTGGGGTATTTGGAAGGCAAATCACTGGGTCATCAGAGAAGTCATGACGTATTCATGTGTTTTTCTATGCAAAAATGCATCATGACTTTTCCGATAACCCAATAATTTTCTACTGCCCCCTCCTGTTATGGGGCCTGCTAACCTAAGTGCAGCGTCTAGAAACTGTATGACCAACAGTGAAGTCCTCCATGCTGTCATCCTCCTCCATGTTGGCCCCTCAAATAAACAACATGGGCAGCTCTCCCTTGGCCCAGAACACTGCTCTGGTAGAGTAGAAGCTGACCCTACCCCCGAGCTCTGACTTGAGCTCTGCCTTCCTCCAGACAACCTCTCCTACATCGAGCACATCTTTGAGATCTCCCGCCGTCCTGACCTACTCACCATGGTGGTTGACTATAGAACCCGTGTGCTGAAGATCTCGGAGGAGGATGAGCTGGACACCAAGCTAACCCGTATTCCCAGTGCCAAGAAGTACAAAGGTAAGAGGCCAGGTCTTGGACCTAACTGCACCCTGCCCCTCCCATCGACACACTTGGCATGGGGACTGTGGAGGTGAGGCTCCGCGGGCCTGCCTGAGCCTCCCACTTCACCCCTGGTCACATCCCTTTTTGCCCCAGACATCATCCGGCAGCCCTCTGAGGAAGAGATCATCAAATTGGCTCCCCCACCGAAGAAGGCCTGAGCAAGGGGAGGAAGAGGAAGAAGGTTGGCCCTTCGTTGGACCGCTCCCTTCCCCCGTCCTCCAGGGGAGGGGGCTAGGGCAGCCTTCCCCCATCTACCCACATACTAACCTGGTCCTAACCCCCTTACTGTGCGCGTGTGTGTGCGTGTGCGCACGCTCTGGCTGTCTGTCTGTATGTCTAGCTCATCTAGTTCCTCCTCGTGAGGAGATGGGGGTCAGGGGCTGGGAGGAGGGGGCTTGGCTTCCCCACTCTTGGGGGAGGTGGGGGCTATTTCTATGCAAATAGAAATCCGCACGTTCCTCCTATTTCCCTTCCCTCCATCTTTAAAGTGAGGAAGCAGAAAGGACCTGCATATTCCTACACCGAAGAGCTCAGGTGGGCTGTGGTGGGTGATCTAGGGAAAACCAGTGGGGAGGGAGGCAGAGAGGCCACCCATCCCCCATCCGGAAGGGGCAAAGCCAGGCCCGAGTTGGGTGTTCGTACTTCTCTGCTGGACTGGCTGAGTCCAGCTTTCTGCTGTTCATCAGGTGAGAGGCCTGATGGGTGCCAACAGGTCACTTTCCTCCCCTCTCATGGGCCTAGGACGGGTGTAAGCCAGGGATCTAATGAGGGAAGACCAGTGAATACTCTTCTGGTCCCAAAGATCAAAACCCACAGAGAAGCTGGCATTCAACGCCCCCACTTTGTGAGACTATGCTGGGGATATGCACACTGAGCCCCTTTCCACCCTTTCTTCCTACTCCGAGTGTTGCACATAGGGACCCGGAACCGGAGGGAGTTGTGGAGTGAGAGCCTTAGGTTTTAACCAGTAATCTTGCCCCACCCGCAGGATCCCAGCATGGTTACTGCAGGCAACCTTCCCTCTCTCCTTGGTCTCGGACACCCCAGCCAGAAGAGATGTTAACTACAGTGTTTCCCTGTGCACTGTCCCTGCCCCAATTCTATCCAGGAGGGGACTTGGCAGCCCTTCCATTCCATACCCTGGCCCCTTGGCCTTGTGGCTGCCTCCTAGCCAGTTACTAGAGTACAATGAGTGACCCAGCTCCTGCCTGCCCAAAACACCCTACCCCTGACCGTGCTAACTGTGTGTACATATATACTCTACATATATGTATATTAAACCCGCACTGCCATGTCTGCCCTCTTGTGGTGTCTAGCGTTAACTTACTGTCTAGGCCAGAGCGGGGGGCGGGAGGAGACGCCACGGTGAAGGGAGTGGTGGAGTCGGTTTACTACACGGTCCAAACAAAAAAGAAACCTTTTGTTTAAAAAAATACAAAAAACAAACAAACAAAAAAAAACAGTAAATTCACATGCACTGAGACTTATCAGAGAAAGGTGAAGTGAGGAGCTTTCAGGACATGGAGCAGCACCTGAGTGGGAGAGGCTGGG